TATACCCCCCCCCCCCCAAATAACAGAAGATGAGAGAAAGAATTGTCCCTTCATTACATCAGATACTATAATGATGAGGGTAGCATAAGAATAGAATAGAACAGAATAGAATAGCTGAAAGGGACCTCGAGAGGTCATCAAGTCCAGCCCCCTGGGATGAGAAAGGATCAAGTAAACCTAGACCATGCTGATGGCTGTTTGTTCAACCTGTTCTGAAAAACGTCCAGTGATGGAAATTCCACAACGTCCCTTGGAAACTATTCAAAAATTTAACTATCCTTAAAGGTTTTCCTAATTTCTAACCTAAATCTCCCCCCATTGCTTCTTGTCTTACCATCAGTGAGAACAATGGAGGACAATTGATCACTTTCGTCTTTATAGCAGGTCTCAACATATTTGTTATCTGGTCCCTCCTCAATCTTCTTTTCTCAAGACTAGATGTGCACTTTTTTAACCTTAGATCATAGGTCAGGTTTTCAAAATTTTTCATCTTTTCTTTGCTCTCCTCTGTACTCTCTCCAATGTATCCACATCTTTCCTGAAGTACGGTACCCAGAACTGGACACAGTACTTCAGCTGAGACCTCAACAATGCAGAGTACACTGGGACAGTGTTGACTCATATTCAGTTTGTGGTCCACTACAAGCCCCAGATAGTTTTCAGCAATATTACCACCTAGCCAGTTATTCCACCACTTTGTAGTTGTGCATTTGATTTTTCCTCTGAGTGTAGTACTTTGCATTTGTTTTTATTGAATTTCATCTCATTGAATTCAAACCAATTCTCCAATTTGTCAAGATTGTTTTGAATACTAATCCTGTCCTCCAAAGTGTTTGCAACTCCTTCCAGCTTAGTGTCATCTGCAAATTTTACAAGCATAGTCTGCACTTTATTATCCAAGTCATTAATGAAAATATTCAATAGTATCAGACTTAGAACTCACCCCTGTGAGACCTTGACTGCAAACTGTTGATAACTATACTTAGAGTATGGTCTTTCAACCTCTTGTGCAACCACCGTATAGTAATTTCATCTAGACCACGTTTCCCTGGTTTGTTTGTGTCAGTGTCATGTGGGCCTGTGTCAAAACCCTTACTAAAATCAAGATATATCATATCTATTACTTCTTCCCTATCGACTAGGCCAGTAACCTAGAATAGAACCGCCATCTCATCACTCACAGAAGGAGGACATCATCATCTGAAAGCATCAATTGAATACCTCATTATGCCCTGATATTCAAGATATCTCCTACTAGCCAGATCTTTTCAGGTCATCCCCTTCATTTCATCCTCTCCAGTTCAAACTGCTCAAAGATAGACTGGCTCTATGGGAGATATTTACAGCTAGGGTTGGGTAGGCAAGTTGCAGCTAATAATTTGTTTGACAAGTTTCACATTTTTCTCTTTTTACAATTACAATTAGCTTGGTACTTTTTCAAAGATATTAATTATGGGTTAAATTCAAGCCTTTGCACAAGTCCTGCCGGTAGCAGTTTGGAAAAGGCTGAACACCCAAAGGATAAGAACTACTGCAGCAGTTCATTTTTCCTGAAGACCTTAAAGTGCTTTACATAAATTAATCTTCATAACATCCATGGAAGGTAGATAGATATTATTATGCCCATTTTACAGACTGATAAACTGAGACACAGAATTTAGGGCACACGTAAAAAGATGAGAAATTGCACAAAAACACCTGGGCTCAAATTTCCAAATCCCAAAGTGCTCATCAACTTAAACTGAGGGTAAAGAATGCACACACAATGTTTATGCTAGTGACAATCTACTAATGACATGTGCAGGATTGGGAGTCTGGTATATCTGTAACTGGACAATTCCCTATCAGTCATTTTTCCAACTTGCATGCACAGGGCTAAGCACAAGAACACTCACCTATGGTTCATTAGAGTATAATAGCTAGATGTAACAGCTGGGAGGATGCTGACTTTCTAATACCAGTAGTGTTTCCAGTTGCTCTCTAGAAGAAATCCTAAGGCAGTAGTGACTTTGCTCACTACAACTATTGTGCGATTTAGCTGTGTCTGACTCTGCAGGTCCCATTTCAGCACCTCAATGAAATGATAGATTTTTGTTGTCAAACATATTTCTGGAACATTTGCTTCTCTGTCAGCTCCAGGATGCTGATGTGTTGCCTATAAACTTTATGGTCTGTGTACTTGAAACTCTTGTATATCTTCCCTCTCTCTCATTTTCCTGTATATTAAAAGACTGAGCGCTTTCCTCTTTGGTTGAGGATATTGTATTCTCATTTCCAAATTGGTCTGTGTGTCTTGTCTTAGGGATGTCCCTTTTCTGTCTAAGGCAATAAACAATTTTTGGAAACATATGGGGTGAAATCCTGGCTGCACTGAAGGCAATGGCAAAACTTCAGTTGACTTCAATGGGGCCAGGATTTCACTCACAGACATTATTTTTTTCAATATGATATGGGGTTCCGAATAGTATAATACTGACACTTTTGTATGATGTAAAACTACAATATATAGGTTTTAATGAAAGTGCAGGATTAACATCAATATAGTCATATGTTTTGTCAGTTATACTGATAATATATTGTCCCTATATACACCTGATGAAAGCAATAAATAAGATATTTTGAATTGACTTGATTTTACTAAATGCATACCCTATTATAGCTCTTCATGGCCTGAGTCCTGCTTCTATTGTAGTCAATGGATGTTTTATCATCATTTAGTGGAAGCAAGCTCAAGTCCAGCAAAAATACATTAATATACAAATTATATGTTGACTGCATCTGCTTTACATAGGAATAAAAGATTATTGCTATATTTTACGATATATGTGGCTATGCATCTACAAAACACATACATTCAGAATCTCCAATATATTATTCATACGAATATTCAAAGGACAGTAATTTTCATACCAGTTAAATTGTAAGGATGGTTTAATGGTGTGTGTGCTAACTTAAGACTGGGGAGACCCAGGTTCAATTCCCTGCTCTGTTGACAGACTCCCTCTGTGACCTTGGCCAACTCACCTAGCCTTGCTATGTCTCAGTTCCCACCTGTATAACAGAATTAACAGCACTTCCCTACAACACAGGGTGTTGGGAACATAAATACCTTATTAAAGATGTTACATCTGGCACTCAGATGTTATGGATGTAAGCACCTAAAATAGATAGCTAAACTAGATTTAATTGGTGGAAATGTATTTTCAATACACCTTTAAGGATATATTACAAATATGATTGTCATTTAAGAGTACCAGCTGTTTCCAACAGTTATTCAACAGTGGAATGTGAGAATTCACAGATATTTCCCTCTACTTGGAATACACCACTGCACATAAACTATTGATTTATTATGATCTTTTAATAGTGACCCCAAGGCACAGCACTAATGTACCACATAAGTATACTGATAGAGAACCTTGTAAAAAGGGAAACATGAAAGTAGCCTTTTCATTATTATTTACTCATTACCTCTCACTGTAGTTATTTCATCAACTAACAGCATGGTGACATCCACCGGACTGAGGTACTATATATCTTTTTTCGCAACTACCCCGAGGGAGTTTAACAGCCACTTGTGCTAATCATACAACAACAGTATTAATGTAAACCTCCGGACCCTCAGAAATGCCAGTAATCCACCCTGAACAGAAGAGGAACACCCTAACATTTTTTCTTAACCAGTTACAGGTAAAGGAGATACACGATAATGTACATAAACTTCATGCTGTTGCTGGTTATAGTGTAATTTTAAAAAGAATGGACAACTTCAACAATAAAAGCACCAGTGTAGAGAACATGCCTAATATAAAACAAATCTTTGTAATAGATGATCCTTATGGAACATATTCAATCAACAGACTAAAAGCCATTAAAATATACATCTTCTTACATTAATTTACTGTGATACAATAAAAAGAAAAGGAGAACTTGTGGCACCTTAGAGACTAACCAATTTATTTGAGCATAAGCTTTCGTGAGCTACAGCTCACTGCATCCAAAAGCTTATGCTCAAATAAATTGGTTAGTCTCCAAGGTGCCACAAGTACTCCTTTTCTTTTTGCGAATACAGACTAACATGGCTGTTACTCTGAAACCTGTGATACAATAAGCTGACTATTTGACAGGTGGAATATAAGCAGGTTAAAAGAACTCCAGTTGTATTAATTAGTTTTAGGGTTAGTGGCATGGCCATAATTGTTGGAGGTCCTGAATCTGGCGAATAAATACATCATCATACAACTGTGCCTAATCTACAAGACTGTCTGCCAAGCTACTGAGTCAAGCATTCGTGAAACATGTAAGGTGCAAACCTCACCAGCAAATGTTCCAGCATTATTCTGTAGTTTCCTCTGCTGTCATATAGGGCATATTTACATTCTGAGCTGGGGGTGTGATTCTCACCTGAAGGACACATACCTGAGCAAGTTCTGATCAAGGTAACATGCTAAAACTAGAGGGTAGCCATGGTGGTGTGAGTAGCGGGAGCCAGGGCTAGCTGCCCTGAATACTTGCTTATGATCTCGGATGGTTATGACTTATAGCAAGCGAGCCTGTCCCACCACTCACTCTGCCACCCCTACACTCTATTTTTGGTCCTCTAGCTGGATGAAAGCTAGCAGGAGTATGTCTCCTAGAGCTGGGAATCACACTCCCAGCTTGAACTGTGGACATACTTTTAGAGAACTACATACGGAAACAATGCAGATGCACAATATTCCAAGCAACATTATACTCCTGAAACCCATCCCTTAGTGCAGAGTTACAGCTGATGAAATGTTCTGAACCCATTTTCCCCTCTCACACCAAGACAGTTTCACTGAGTTAATAGAGTTGCTTCTAATTTGCAGTGGGGTAACTAAGAAGATGGATCATCTATAATTTTGTTCTGAGAAAATTAAGTTACCTTTAATTGTCATAGGATTGCTTGGATAAATAAAGGGAAATGCCTTACTGTGATTTCTGGGAGACATGCTATTTGTTTATAAGCTGGCAATTACCTGGATAATACCTGGCGAGGCCAGTCGCACTACCAAAAACCTGCCACAACAAAGTTGGGTCTTCATCTCTGTTCTTTTTGAATACTTCATCCAATGCTCCAGTCCAGTTGAGTTCATTTAACACTATTGTAGCTGTAAAAGAGGAAACATATTTGGTATTACAAAGCTAAGTATTTACATAATTAGCAGCTAATATTCTTTACAGGAATTTTAAAAATTGTGAAAGATTTAACATGACAAATATGGTGCAGGAACTGAGTAAACTATTCTAACAACTATTCTAGAGAGTACGTAATTTAAGTAATCAACAGAGTAAATTTGAGGAAATACAGTCCTACTCCTTGAAAGGATTAATATTCTTTAATTTTCCTGTACTGCTTTTTTTCCCAGTGATTCATCTGTATGCAAAGATTATTCTTATTTTTTTGGATACTGAATTTCTTCTGTGAAATATGTTGTTTCTGATGGGCCATTCTATTCTTGATTCCAGGCTAATGACAAGTAAATTAGAGGATGTAACCACATAACCTATTTGATCACAGGACATAGCCATGAGACAAAGCAAGGTGATACCAACAAAAGATGTATAAGTCATAGGAAAATGTAACAAAGGTCTCTCTTTCAAGCTAAATGCGATTATTTAAGATGGATTCCATGGAAAAGAGAAAACAATGAATTAAACAACATTAGAATTGCAAAACCGAGCTGGGACTAGCAACTAAGGCAGTGCTCATTATTGCAAGTTAACAGGATTTCATGTTTATGGATGTGAACACTTGCAGAAAGATCAGTTCTGTGGACATTAATATTCATGAGCAGGGTCAGTTCCACAGTGAACTTGAGCTACAAGGAAATTCATATGCTTAAGCATGATCAGCACTAAACACTAAGTGGCCAGTGACATGGAAATTCATAGTCACAAAGCTGCCCTGGACTGATGCTTGTGTTACTTTTGCAAATATTTATATTAGCATGTTCTATGCCTTAGTGGGAAAAAGATAGTAGGGGCTTTATGAACAATGCTCCACTACAGTACTAATCAACTGAACAAATAATGAAGTTGAATTATGGTACCGTGCTTTAATCAGTGGTAAATCCTATTAATTTCCAAAGATATCTCAATCACATTAGGCACCAGCTTGGCATTCAGATTCTTAGAACAGAGCAAGGTTTTAGTTGGTGGTTGGGTCACTAATGCTTTCCTTTGTCTTGTCTGATGGCATTATAAATAATGCTTCAAGACTGAAATACATAGGTTATAAAGATGACAGAGACACTCTCATTACCAACAGTGAACTCAAAAGGGGAGGGGAAAGGGGAGAAATATATCTGAAGTGACAAAATACGTGTAGAATATTGCTTTTCATCAGAATTCTCTATTGTATTTCTACAGAATTGTCTATAGGAAATTCAAGCTGGACTAAGTAAAGTGAGTCCATCTTTCAGACAGAAAAAAATGGATCATTCTGCAAAGCTTTATAGGCGAGGTGGAGGGAAGACAAAGAATAAAACTTGGTACAATATTTGAAGTTAATATCAGCTTCTAAATTGAGGTTTTTATAATTAAAGTAATAAAATGCTAACATTAAATTTCATATATTTGGTTTTTAAGGCTAACGGGACATTTGGCACACTTTATGTTCTGTGAAAGATTTATTTTTTCAGAGAAGTTTTAAAAGTGCTTTCTGTTCTGAGATGCTGACTTTTTGAGAAATATAAAATTAAACCTCCTATTCTCCAGATCCCTTGTAACCAATACATCTATATACCCAGTCTCTTTGTCAAATATCTAATTAAATATATATTTACTTGAGAAAGAGGAGCAATTCCCACAGTACAGTAACTACTTAACTATCATTATAAAAATGTTTATTGTACAATTATGTTCTTTAGAGCAGGTTTGCTCTATTGTATAATTATGTAATGAAGCACTGAAGTCTTTGTACAGTCCTTGTAACACTCTTTTTAATTTGTGCAGTGATTCTCTCCTGGACCTTACTTACATGACTAAATACCTAAAGTGGAATCCTGGCCCCAGTGAAGTCAATGCAAGTTTTGGCATGAGGTGCCTCTAAACTAAGAACATGGGGATGATAAAAGGAGGGTTTTTGCATTAAGACACTGGACAGAGACTCAGGAGATAGAGGTGCTTTCCTCACCTCTGCACAAACTTCCGTTATAACTTTGGGCAAGTCACTTAGACCACTGACGTCAATGGGATTTAGCATATGCTTAAGTGCTTTGCTAAACAGCGATGAACTTGAGCACAAGTGTAAAGCTAGATATGTGCTTAAGTGCCTTGCTGAATTAGGAAGGACTTATTTCTCCATGATTCAGTTTCCCATGCTTAAAATGGGGATAACGATATGCCCCTATAAATCTACTGAAGTATATGAGGTGCTCAAATACTACAATGATGAATATCCCAGAAAAGCCTATGCATAAATAATAATAATGGTTAACAAGGGGGAAAAAAGAGTGATCACACATATTATTGAAATACCTAGATACTACAGTGACAAGGACCTTACTGATATAATAGAGTAATTCACCTACTAATAAATCCTCTGATTTTTCTCCATGGTTTTTTATGGCAAAATCCCTTCCCTTCTTCTGATATTTGTGGAAAAAAAGGTGCTAGACAGTTAACTTTAAACCTTGTCTTTATTTATAGGTTAATTCCCTACCACCCTGCATCCTACCCCCAGAATTTTAGAATACATACTATATTTTGCCTTAAAGTAATATTTTTGCGCACGTGAAAGAGACTTTTTTCCTTATTTATGCATTTTAAGAATGATTTGTTAAAAATGAGGGAAAAAAAAATAAAGTCCAGGAAAAAAACTGTTTCCTCTCAAGTCGGAATGCCTAAAAACAGGAGTTTATGAGTGGAGTTTAACTGGACCAGAAAAAGCAGCTCACTCTAGCACCAGTTATAGTAGTAAAAAAAGCGGGGAGAAAGCTACTATTGATACGAGTAGCATTTCTACTGTCACATTTTCAAAAGCAAACCTTCCAGCACCCCAGAAATTAATACAGTGAATGCTCCAGTTTTAAATTACAGAAATAGCTCACACAATTGTATGCTTCAATTTGCATCAACTTCCTTTTAATTCACTCTCTCACTGTGGCCGCAGCAACATGTCATGTGCTTGGAAGCAAAAGTACAGTGCAATGGGGGAAGGCTGTTATTCAGATACCACAACATAAGGTCATTAAAAATTCCTGGAGGAGGTTTGGTATTTGTGTGCGTGCTATAAAACAACAAGCTTCTATCACAAACAGAATATCCATCCAAAGGGACAGGGAGTGAAGAAATAATTGTAAGGAATTATAGCTTTCACCATCACTTCCACGGCTAATACTGCTTTACAGTTGCTGATGGATATACCCTCACTTTAAATAAGCAAGCATGCCAAAATTTGCTGATAATGAGATCTACCACTTCTATGGCTGCTAACAGGCAATTTCAAACTGGCACCTCTGATGAATAGTTGATTCTGGTTAAACTTCTAACAGCAATGCTTCTGAAGCTTTTCACCTTAAGAAAAGCCATCTTAAATAAACAAACAAAACAAACAAAAAAGAGCTATTCCTCAAACCACTCCCTCCTAAAATATCAACTCATTTTGTACATAACTAAATCAGTCCAGAGATATTGAATTAAGCTGACCATGATCTAAACTGTAAGATTTGGATTTCTATTGGCTTCCCAAAAGTAAGTGTTTCTTATAGTAGCTATAGTATATATATTTTCATTTATTTTTGTTGTTTTGAAAAACTGGACCTTCCTAAAATGGACTTTTGATGAGTTGTAGTGGCCAGGTCAACCGAGAAATGACATTTGCTAGGATCACTTACCTTATCTTTTGAAGCATACCATTGTAAGATGATCGAGCTTTTGATGATAACTGGCTTACTCCTAAATCCTCTTAAAAAACAGGCCTTGGTCTTTGGAGATTGATTCTTCAGTGTACTTCTATTGCTACCTCCCACTTGACATGGGCAGGAAAGAATACTAAATTCATCATCATCTGATAGGCAACATCATTCTTTCCTGCTAATTCCGTTGAAATACATCTGTCTTTTCTCTTCCCCACCCCTCCTTTTTGTTTATGAGATGGGATTCAGGAGCCTTGACAAGCCCTGGATTCAATCTGTCTCTGCAAATGCAATCAATAAAACACAACACTATTGCTCTCTTTTAAACAGAACTGGAAGAACTTAGTTTTGATGATTTATTTAATGTATAGGGCCTGGCCTGAATAGAAGGCAATGTATGACTTTATTTGAAAAGCCTGAGAGCTATTTACTATCTCTGAAAAGATGTCAGCTACTGTTCCCTAATGATGCAGCTATGCATACACTGGAGGGAACAGAAAGCACCTCCTCAGCAATTCATTTATAACATAAAAGTGATTGTCTTTTAGAGTGCTGGTGGCGGGCACTGGGTATCCATCTCCTATTTTAATGAAGTTGACTCATTGATTTAAAAAAATGCACACAACTTAGGCAGAATTATTGTGGTAAATGTTATATATTATTCCAGTCAAATACTGGAATATTGGAGGGAGGATATATTTACATGTGTGTATTTATTAAGTGTTCACACTTGCGCTCAGCACCCCTCCCCCCCCACAACCCCAGTCAACAATGTCCATACACTGCGGAAATTCCACTGAAAATGTATTTTATGTTTCTGCCTCATATGTTTTATTACAAAACCAGTACACTTCATCTACATTTTCAGAGCTTAGACACTTTCTGGTGCATGTTAAAGGAAATAGTGCTAAATACGGTCACCAATCACAGAAAGTTTTTACAGCTATCACATTTTATGTGGGGCTGAGAATGAAAGTGTAATTTCCAGTAAGTTTCTAAACAAACTAGGTACTGAGAGTATTGTTATTACGTGCTTGGGTGGCTCATACATATAAATCTTTGGATGTATCCACAAATACTAAAGTCCTGAAAAGGCCATTTAAAAAAAAATAGAGCTTGGTGATTTTCAGAGCTTCAAATGAAGATACTGGGGTAATTCACCTCACAAGGTATGACCTGGTGAGGTACAATTTTTCCCATGATATAAAGCTCAACAGAAGCAAAACATCTACCATACATTTAAGTAAGTT